CTCTCTTTGGTGCCTGGAAACTACACAAAGCAGAAGAGGTAGGAAGAAATGCACGAAAACAGATGCAACCATTGAGCATTGCTTTAACTATCATTGAACAGGTACAAAGATAGTGTCAACTTGGGCATGATGGTTGCTTCAGTTGTGAGCATTGCCTCAATCATCAAAAAAGAGAAAGAGATATAATGTGGAAAGGTAGACCATGATAATTGCATAAAACATCAAACATAATTTATGCTGCAATCATCACAGCACTAGCAATTTGTCTCAAAGCAAAACATAACAGGGATAGGAAACCGTATTCATCACTGTACATGACCAAAATGGAAACAATAAATCAAAAACCATTGGTACATTGTCTCAATCTTTATCCTACACTAAGAAATCAAACAAATATCACAGGCATGGTCATGTGCTTAGGTCTATTGCATAATACCTACCTGCTCTCAAAATCCAGTGGAACCCAGCAGGCCGCAGCCTACAAAACAAAAAAAATCATAGTTAGATTGGTAAGAGAAAATGGGAAGAATAGTAGACCTAGGGGGGAATTGATCTTAGAACAATAGATGTAGGATAAAATCAAATAGAGTAAGGATAGAGAGGGGAGAGTAAACCAGCGAGCGGGCGGATCGAGGGAAAGCACAGCCGCGCCAACCGTCTGCAGGAGCTCGTGTGGTGGGAGGGGGGCCGCCCGCGCCGGCGCGCCGCCTGCACAGGCGCCGTCGTCTCGCGCCCATCACTGCCTCGGGAGGGAAGGAGAGAGAAAGGGGAGAGAAACGGAGGGGTAGGCAGGTGAGGGAGATATTTTCCCCTCCAACCAATCACACGTGGACACGCGATATGCTACAGTAAAGCGGCGGTGGGGTAAAGGTGAACCACAGATCGGAAAATCAACGCTGTAAATTTTTTTTGCTATCGTGGAACGTCTGGTTGATGACCAAACTAACCTGCTTTGATAAGAGTAGATGTGTATGTCTCATCTCATAGGGTAAACTAGGGTTTGTTTGATAATAGTTGCTAATTCTTGGAAGCTAATTTTTAGCAGGAGGCTGTTTCATCAATCTGCTTATAGGTGGTTGGATAGTGAGCTAAAGGTGTATATGAACTATTAGAAATCGCAAACCTTCTAATGGAACTAGTAGTTAGCAACCCTTCATCAGCTAACAATTAGCGGATTTATCAGCAAGTCTGTTTGGATTCTCTAGTACTAATTTTAGCTGCTAATTTTTAGTACTAAACCACATATATCCTGTCTATTGACGCATTAATTTACCCAGCAGGTCAAGACCGTTCGACTGGTATTAAAGCAACCACAATGTGCTCCAGTCCATAGGGACTAAATTATTCCTTATAGACTGCCTAGAACACTGTGGAAGCAACAGTAGAACAGTCATAACAGAAGTCCTATAAACCACCCATAAACAATAAAAAAAATATTCTCCCTCCTTTTCTCTGGATTCTGGTTGTTGCCGCTCCAGCAGGCTACCTGCGCCGCCCGCGAGCCGTCCCGGGCCCTCTGTGTCACCGGCGAAGACCTTCCCCAAGCCATGCGCGCCACCCTCGAGGTTACTGCCCCGGCCATTTGCGCCGCTTGCGAAGCCGTGTGTTCGGGCCATCTGCGCCGCCTGCGAGGCCATGCCTGACCATCCGTGCCACCTGCGAGGCCGCCGCAGCCATCCGCGCCGCTCACACCCACCATGGAAGATTGGAGCCGGAGAGAGGAGAGAACGAGCGACGCGCTAGAGCGGAGTTACGAGATGAAGATGCGCGTGCGCCGTGAGAGGAGCAGGCTGCGGGGAGAAGATGATGTTCGTTAGTTGGGATGGGGTTTTTTATTTTTATGTGGGCCCTAATTTATGGACCGGACATTATAAGCCATCCGTGCGCCGACTTGTTCGTTTGGGCTGGTTTGGCTTATAAGTCATGGCTGAAAGTACTGTTGGCTGGTTTGGTGTAAGAGAAAAATACTGTCCATTGGCTGATAAGCCAAATACGACCAAACAAACAGGCTGATGGATGATGAAATAGTAATAGGCTATTTATGGTGGGCCCATTTATATGAACTAGTTTGCCATATACATTGAGCTTGCTCTAAGCCCATGTTTAGTTGGGTGAAAGTTGGAAATTTAGCTACTATAGCACTTTCGTTTTTATTTGGCAATTAGTGTTCAATCATGGACTAATTAGGCTCAAAACGTTCGTCTCGCAATTTCCAACCAAACTGTGTAATTAGTTTTTTTTCGTCTACATTTAATGCTCATGCACGTATCGCAAGATTCAATGTGATGGGTATTGTAGCACTTTTTGGGAAAACTTTTCACGAACTAAGGCCCTGTTTAGTTCCCAAAAATTTTCACCCTAAAGTCAGTCTGTTCGCTTGTTGGTTTCAGCCAGCCCAAACCAGCCAGCCAACAGTATTTTTCTCTCACAAAAAACCAGCACCAGCCAGCCCAAACCAGCACCAGCACCAACCAGCGAACAGCCCCAGTGTCATATCGAATCTTGCGGCACATGCATAGAGTACTAAATGTAGACGGAAAAAAAAACTAATTGCACAGTTAGGTGAGAAATCGCGAGACGAAACTTTCGAACCTAATTAGTCCATAATTAGACATTAATTGTCAAATACAAACGAAAGTGTTACAGTAGCCAAACCCAAAAAGATTTCGCCAACTTAACGCGCCCTAAACAAGGGCTAAAGCAGCATGCCGCATCGCAGCAGCAGGTGACTGTGACTGGTATGGCGTACAGTACCTTGTGAGGGAGAAGGCAGCCAGCAGCACTCCGTTTCTACATGTTGGGGCTTACAACCTCTTGAAGCACAAGAAAAGTCTGGCTTCTACTGCAAGCTTCATTTGGGGTCTCTGGACAAAGGGAACTCGTGGTCTACAAGCTTCAAAAAAAAAAAAAAAACTATGTCCTCTCCAGTGAAATGACAGATTTATTTCTTGTGCTTTGCTTTGTACCTTTGCAAAGGAGCTCCGTTATCAGGTCACTATGTTGACTCTCCTGCCGTAGCTAGGTTGCTACAAATCTGTTCTTTGGGAACAACGTTTCCAACTCTTTATACTCTGCTTTAGGGTTTAATACATCTTCGAGTCCTTATAAAAAAAGTGTAATGCTACTTTTGACAAATATAATCGAATTATCAAAGAGTTTTCGGTCGAAACTTTTCGTGGTTATTTGGTGCTAGGTTTAGTGCAAACGTATACAGCAAGCTTGTCGTCCTAACTAACTGCAGAGGCTCCAACATTCAGTGACGCCATGTCAGCTCTGGCGAGATTGGGGATTGTGCTGGGTACCAGAATGTGGTCAGTTGTGCACATAGCTTGGTTTTGGTGAGTACAAGATAATGGTCTTTAGCACTCTGGAGCAATAAGCAAACGTGCTGACTGCTGACGGCAGGATCAAAGCATGTAGATTCTGCAAAACTTGTGCATCCCCTCAAGTTCGCTTTAGTGTGTAAACTCTAAATTCAGGTCCTCGGATAACCATGTAGATTAGCTGAAGCAGCTGATGAGGCTTCTCCGAGTATACAACAAAGTTATAAAAAAATAAATTAGGATAGTCTAGTTAATCATCCTTTACTCTAAGAAAAAGTATTTCTATTTGTCAAAAAGAAAGAAAAAGTATTTGTACATCATTTTTTTTGAGAATTCTACGTCATTTTTTTCTGGGGTAAAGTCCAATTTACACCCTCCAACTTTTATGAAAGTCCAGATTTCAACCTCGAACTTTAAAACCGGATAACTTTGGCCCTCCAACTCTTGAAACCGTTCAACCTTCAACCTTCTGCTCGGTTTTGCTGGTGAACAGTAACTTTTGATATTTTCAGGAGGCATCGAAATTTTATATTATTTTTTCGAGCATCTTAACGTCCTCAAATGAAAAAACTCAAAACTACAAAGTTGTAGATCTCATCGAGGTCTACAATTTACATATAAAAATTATCTTCATCCGACATCGTATTGAAGAGTTTTCTATTTTTTGAAATTTGAGTCTCATCACGCGACAAAATATGGTGCTGAAATTTTTTATTATTTTTTCGAGCATCTTAACGTCCTCAAATGAAAAAACTCAAAACTAAAAAGTTGTAGATCTCATCGAGGTATATAATTTACATATAAAAATTATCTTCATCTGACATCGTATTGAAGGGTTTTCTATTTTTTGAAATTTGAGTCTCATCACGCGACAAAATATGTTTTCTGAAATTTTATATATTATTTTTGAGAGCAAATTTCCTCAAATGAAAAACCCTTCAATACAAGTTGTCGGATGAAGATAATTTTATATGTAACTTTAGATCTTCATGAGACTACAACTATTGTAGTTTTTCTATTTTTTCAAATGAGAGACGTTAAGATGCTTGAAAAACAATATAAAATTTCAGCATCATATTTTGTCATCAGCGTGATGAGACTCAAATTTCAAAAAATAGAAAACCCTTCAATACGATGTGGGATGAAGATAATTTTTATATGTAAATTGTAGACCTCGATGAGATCTACAACTTTGTAGTTTCAAGTTTTTTATTTGAGGACGCTAAGATGCTCGAAAAAATAATATAAAATTTCGACGCCTCTCAAAAATATCAAAAGTTACTGTTCACCCGCAAAACCGCCCAGAAGGTCGAAAGTTGAACGGTTTCAAGAGTTGAGTTGGAGGGCCAAAGTTATCCGGTTTTGAAGTTCGAGATTGAAATCTGGACTTTGGTGAAAGTTGGAGGGTGTAAATTGGACTTTACTTTTTTTTTTTTTAATACAATCGTAAAAGCCAGAAGGGACTTGAACCGCTCTTTTTTGTCCGGGCCATCTAGTAGGCCGTGGCCCAATCAGCCCGACTTCTCCACATAGGCCCAGCCCACTTGAGAGGGTTCCAGGGAAACCCTACCCCCCCTGGTATATAAGCCACCGCGCGGCCGCCACTCCTCCCCCAACCTGTGCGCCACCACACACCACACACACCCGGCAGGGAGACCCTCATCGGCGGCGGAGACCATGGTGTCCTTGAAGCTTCAGAAGCGCCTGGCCGCAAGTGTCCTAAAATGCGGGAAGGGCAAGGTGTGGTTGGATCCCAATGAGGTCTCCGAGATCTCCATGGCCAACTCGCGTAAGACCACCACCGCTTGCCCCCCCGTCTCCTCCCCCTCCGTCCAGTCCGTTTTTTCTGCAAGTCGAGTCAGTCCGTCGACGAGCAAGCGCGTCCGTCCATGGACGAGCTGTTCATCCCTTGACTGCTCAGTGGGCTGCGTTGGTGTCTTAGGTAGATCTGTGTTTCTGCGCGTATCTTTTGGGCGGCGCCAATGAACTGCCGCATCATCATGCGGACCGCGCCCCGCTTCCTCGGCCAAGGGCCTCTGGATCGACTCGGGAGGCTTGACCCGCTGTCCACCAGCGTGGTGCCGCGTTGATTGTTGATGTAGCTCAGGTTCGTGTCCGTCTAATATACCGGGGCAGTTTAGTTTGTGCGTATAGGGATCGATGGAAAGGAAATCTTGTTCCGTTTGCGTTCGGTGGCTGCAGGTGTTCATATTAGGTCACTGCGTCCGTGTGCCACCTCATCTAGTTGTGTTGGTTATCTTATTGTACAGGATGTTAAACTGTTAGATTGTGCCTATGTTGATTTTGCTGTTATAATTTATTTCCTGCTACTAATGTACAGTAAGTTGTCTGGGAGTTTTGTTGAAGATAATGTTTGCCAAGTGATGCAACTGTGCATAAAGTTTATTGTGTATTTTGATTATTTTGTGCACAGATGATTTGCAAAGAACTGTTTATTTAGCCATACATATTCTGTTCATGCTGTATTGCAAACCGTATGTTCTGGCCTACTTGTTTTATTACTTTGATTTTGGCTAGGATTGCTATTACTTGCTTTCATGCACTGCCGATGATTTACAAGTATGCTTTTATGTTAGCCTGAGGTATTGTGCTCAGGCTGTTCTTGCCATGCATATGTTTTTTTTCCGATTGGTTTAGTACTGAGATTGCCATGCATGTATCTAAAGTTATGTGATTTGATGAAGGTGAAATAGTTACTACGCACAGACTTGTAGTTGTTTTCTCTTTTTTTTGTGCTCATTCAATGTTGAGTCTTATGCTTGTACTTTTGTTTGAACATTGAAATCTTAAATTTGTTTTGCTACTGAGTGACAGAAGGTACATAAGTATGATCATTTTTCTGCAATACTTGCAGGACAAAATATTCGCAAGTTGGTTAAGGATGGCTTCATCATCAAGAAGCCGCAAAAGATCCACTCCAGGTCCCGCGCAAGGAGGGCCCATGAAGCAAAACAGAAGGGCAGGCACTCTGGTTATGGTATACTGCTGCAGCACTTGTTTACTCTGTTCGTTGCCATGTGAATTTATATGTGAGATCTCTGTTTTTTCGAGTCCTGCAATATAAGCTAATCTGATCTGCCTGCAGGTAAGAGGAGGGGTACCAGGGAGGCTAGGCTCCCCACCAAGGTCCTTTGGATGCGCAGGATGCGTGTTCTCAGGCGCCTGCTGCGGAAGTACCGCGAAGCAAAAAAGATAGACAAGCACATGTACCACAGTATGTACATGAAAGTGAAGGGTAATATGTTTAAGAACAAGAGAGTGCTCATGGAGAGCATTCACAAGACAAAGGCAGAGAAGACCAGAGAGAAGACTCTCTCTGATCAGTTCGAAGCTAAGCGGGCGAAGAGCAAGGCCTCTCGTGAAAGGAAAATCGCAAGAAGGGAGGAGAGGCTGGCCCAGGTAAGATTTGAACATGCTGAAACTTGCATATTTTTGCATTGTTATAACTGCTGATTTGTAATGTCGATGAATGGTAATTAAATTTGCTAACACTCATTAGTTCTATATTGATCTGTTAAAAAAAAGTATGCTTGATTTTGTTTGATCTTTATGTTGTGTATGATTGGGCATGGGTTTTAGTGTACTACTTTCATTGTCTTCCAGAGTCATGCAATGCCTTCTAGTTTGTTTTAAACTGTTAGATCTGGTGCATGTTTTCTGACCGCTTGTGGCATTTTGATGTACCTTGCTCTTCTTCCATTTTTCAATTGTTTGGATTCTAAATGCATGTTTCATCATTGTGTAGGGCCCAAGGGAACCCACGGCAGCACCAGCAGCAGCTCCTGCCCCAGCTGCAGCGTAAGTGCCTTGGAACTACTTCATCCTAGTTTCCTTGGATTAGATGATCATGTGTTTGTTGACATTTTTTTGACACTCCAATGCCACAGTGCACCAAAGAAGGCTAAGAAGTGAAGGAGTTGTCTGAAGCAGTGGCATTCTGGTACCAGGACTTAGCCTAATTTTGGAGCGCCTCAGCCTAATACATCTAAGCTGTCGTGTCTGAGACATCATATCTCGTTTGTTATGTTGGATAATTTATTAGACTTGTTTATCCTAAGTGCCTTTGGAACAAATTATCACAGAATATGGTTATGCTTTTGCGAAACATAGTTCTTGTTTGCTAGTTTATCTTTGATCTGGCCGTTGTGGCTCGCACCTGTGCTGGTATGCCCTGAGGCATAACCTGATCTGAAAGGTGAACTGCAGATTACGCAGCTTTCTAGTGTTTTCTGTGGTGATTTATGAGCACTGCGATGTTAATCTGAATACGTGCTCAGTGATTTGTTGCTGCCGTAGATGCAAGCGATGTCTTTGCCGACGGCGCTGCTTATACAAAACCTTATTGTGACTACGATGCTGGGCCTGGGAGATTGCCTTCGACCTGTGAGCGGCAGCATTAGCTGTAGTTGTAAATGCAAGGCCGCCCCTTGTGGTTAGCCCTTGCAATCACAAGTTCTATCACAAGTTGAAAATTGGCTCGACAACAGCATTCTGACGCCGATGATGAACTGAAATGGTGGAATCGCCCAGGGCTTGTCATTTTGGATAAATGATGCCTGTGAACGCTATGATATGCATTTTGTAATGCTCGTGAATGCTCTATCGCAAGTGAGTTGCTCAATATCCGCTGCAAATGGGAACGGGGAACCTGAAAAAGTGTGATGTCCATCTTACAATTAATCGAATTCAGAAATCAAGCTTGGCAATAAAGGTGCAAAATTCAGCCGTGATGCCCTCATTTCATCCGTGTAGGCGATGTGATATTATATAGCTCAGCGAAGGGAGGATATAAGATCAATTTTTTTTTTGAATTTTCGGAACAAAACCTACTGTCTGGAAAGGTATGAACGTTGAGACCTGGAACAGGCAGGGTTTCTTAAACTGCTCCTTCCCATACTTGTGAAGTAACAAGCAATGGTGAGTGGCGAACCTAATCCAACTTGCGATTGTATCTACTACAGATTGACATAATTTTACAGTAAGGTAACCAATATCTAGAAGTTAAATAGACAAGACAAATTTACATTGTAGCCTATTTTGCCGGAACCCAAAATGGAGACACTATAGCTCTCGTTCAGCTTGAACACATTCCTGAAGAATTCTCTACATGCACATACAATCCACACATACTCTTATCTTATATCAGCTAAATTGTCATTGTGATCTCTGCTGAAAGCCATTGAAGCTGAATATAGCATAGCTTGACCCAACAATGTCCCGATGAGAGGTTTTCAGGGTTTCAACAATTGTACAACATTGTAACTGCCTCAATTAGTTCTTTGACCTGTGCTGAATGTCCACCTGTTTTCTTAACAAAAATTGTTTGCACAAAGTCAGCCACAAACAATTTCCGGATAAAAGTTATGGAAGATCTGCCGCTAGGGCCCGCCGAAATCTGCCGCAAGGGGGACCGCTCATGTCGATGCCGCTCGCTCGCTGGGGGTCCGAACTCCCCCACCAGGTCGACGTCGACCTCCACGACCCAAGTCGACGGGGATCCGCTCAAGTCGACGTCGACCTCAAATGGCCAAAGTATGCGGATCCAAGAGCCTGAGCACGACGGGGAGCCCTTTCGACGGCTGAAGCGTCAGGAAGTCGGCCGGCGCGTGCACGTACTCCGGCGCCACCTCGAACGCGAACCGCCAGAGGATGAGCGCCAGCGTGGCCTTGGCCTCCAGCATCGCGAAGTCCTGTCCGATGCATGGCCAAAGTATGCTGGCACCGCTACTGAAGATCATGGAGATCAGGTGGAGAAGGAGGCGCCTCAGGATGATGGGCCGCGAATCAGCAGGCGGGCTTCGAAGCCGAACAAGAGCTACACTGGGCCGGATTGGGCATAGGAGGGAACAGGCCCATGTAACGGGCGGGTGCGTGTGCATCCTGTAAAAGGAGAGCGTGGAGAGGAAGGCAAATTGAGTTTGATCTTGTAACCAGAAACCCGTCCTGTGGCCTGGACGACGGCGGCGTCTGGCTCATTGCCGACGACCGATGTTCTGAGATTCTACTCCACTACAACTATCATACTGATTCCGGTGACAATTTGGTACCAGAGCCTTATCGATCCACCAATTTTGCCCCAATTTTTTTCTCTCTACCTCGTTGCTTCGATCTGGCGCCGTGATCCCCGACGGCAGGCTCTCCTTGTGATTCGGTCTAGCAACGTTGATCGTGAGGATCCATAGGTCCGTGCCGAGGTTGGTGTGATCAGCAGCGGCGACAGAGTTGAAATCCTGGCAACCCACTCCTACCTCACCCGACGACAGATGGCCATGGCGTCGCCGGTCAGATCCTAGCGATTCTGAGCGAGAATTCGAAGGGAATCAACGAGCTCAAGACCTCCATGTCGGAGATGCGTACCTTGCGCTCAGAAGTCCTGCAATGGGAACCCGATGTTGACCACCGCATTCATGCACTGGAGCATGCCATTCTGGATCTCGGCGAGAAAGTCGAGCAGGTGCTGGAGGCTCTTCTACCTCAAGTGCAGTCGAAGAAATCCACTGACGCGGAACAATTGGGTACTGTCGCTATCTCTCCGCTCGCTGCTGTAATTCAGGAGGACGGGAGGATCACTTCACCTCTCCGACTGTCAAGGTGCCGAGCTCCGCGCATCTGGAGCTTCTCCCGCCTCGGGCGGCATCTGGGTCGTTAGACCACGGCAAGGGATCCATTCACCGGGGGCCCGACTTCAGGGCGGTGTACATCGTCGCCTCGGACCCAACCCCGGTCACAGGTGCGACAAATCCTTCAAAACCTTCTACGGTTACTTTCAATCCTGATGGATCTGTGCATCGTGATCGGCTCATATACACCCCTGTTCATCCACCCATTTCTAATTTAGAGTTTCCCACCTTTGATGGCTCCAATCTGTGGCAGAACCACCTAAAATAACATGCTTTCGGAGGCGCTCGTCTTCCACTAGACACTAAGCACCCCGAAAGTTAGCTACATCGGACCGTTCTGTCGAGCCCACCCCAAGGGAGAACTCGACTCAATCCACGTTTGACCTCCAGAATCCAATAATGAGTACGAGTTTACAATACTTAGTCCATTTCATACAACAAGAGCTCTTGAAAATTATTTATTATAATACCAGAGTTCAGAGTACGATAATTAAACATCGGAATAAAAATAAACATCTAGCGAAAACGATACAAGGATCCGTCTGTGCCCACTAAAAGAATTCTCCACACAAGAGTTACTCCTCAAGCTGCACCTACAACAGGGGTAAAATAAACCCTGAGTACACAATGTACTCGCAAGACTTACCCGACTAGAGGGAATAGTTTTCCGACTTCAAGGGGTATGATAGGCAATATGGGTTTGCTATTTTCTTTTTGTTTGCAGAAAGCATTACTAATAGCTTATCCTTACTGTCAAGTTTTATTAGCAGTCATGATTGTAGCAGAACCGCCCAAAATAGCACGTTTACGGAGGTGCTTATCTTCCACTAGACACTAAGCACCCCGAAAGCAAGCTACAGTGGACGGTATCCGTCGGGCACACTCTAAGCGAGAACCCGAAAGATCCATATTTTTTTCAAGGATCTAATAATGAGAACGAGTTACAAAACTTGTCCATTTCATACAACAGAGTTTCTTAAAAGTACATAATTACAACACCAAATGTCAGAGTGCGGAATGATAAACATCGGAATTTAAAATAAACATCTAGCGATAAGAACGAGGATCCGTCTAAGCCCACCAGAAGAATCCTCCACACAAGGGTACTTCTCATGCAAAACTTGCAACAGGGGTAAATAAACCCTGAGTACACAATGTACTCGCAAGACTTATCCGACTAGTGGGAATAATTTCCTGACTCCAAGGAATATGATAAGCTTTATGGTTTGCTGATTTTCTTTTAGCAGAAAACAATACTAATAGTGAGTCCTTATTTATGTTATTATTATCAGCCGTATTAAGTTATTATCTATCCAGTCTATATAAGCACCGGTTCTAGGGCTACAAAATCTACAGCAAGTACATAATAATATAGTGAGCCTATTGTAAAATTTTTATAGCTATAGCTATCACCAATTTCGCACAAAAATTCCTACAAATATTAATCTATATAATACTAAGCTCTCTAGTTTGGATTTATGAGCCCATTACTATCACAGCTAACTGTAAACTAACTACACTAACAGATAGATGACATTTTTGTGAACCTAACAAACTTAATTTCACTATTTTTGGACATCTACAAGATTTACTATAATTTATTAAAGTTCAGCTAGAAACTATATTGAATAAACATTTGTAATTCGCTGGAAATTGGAAAACGAATTCACAGTGTGGCCTAACTCGCACGTGGCTCGGCCTAGCGCGGCAGCGGACCGAGGACGGCGCGGGCAGGCCGGCCCATGGCGGGGGCACGGGCGCTAGCGCGAGCTGGCCCAGGCGGGAGCGCAGGCCGCGGGCGCGAGCTGGCCCAGCAGGCGAGGTGCGGACACGGCTGGCCTAGGCGGCTGCGCGGACGCGAGTTGACAGAGCAGGGCGTATTTCTAATGTATTCGGGATTTATTTTCCTACACGAAAGCGGCCCTAAAATGGGTGTGACGCAGGGATGACGTCAAGCTGATGTCAACAAGCTAAGAGCAGCAGTACGCAACGGCGGCTGCTCTGCTTGCTCTGCTCACCAGCGCGAGCGTGGTGCGGTGGTGTTCGCCGGCGAACAGAGCACGTCGGTGTGCTATTCGCGGCGCTGCTACTAGCTCAACGCAGAAGAGCGCGATGGTGCGGATGAGCCAGCTGACCTTGCCGAGCTCACGCTGGAGGTCCACAAGAGGAATGTCCCGCACAACCTCACCGCAGGACGAACACTCGATGGCACGACTCCGAACGGAAGCTAGCTACCCGAGCTCGATGTGTGTATGGCTAATTGGAAAACGGTGGAGTGGGTGAGGCCAATTT